TTTAATAGTGAATTCCAACTTATACATTGTTAATAACATAATTTTATATACGTGCCTATCTTGCCCCATTACTGTTGCCCCTATACCAGGGGCAACTTTAATAAAAATAATTAAAATAATTACAACTTTACAAAAAGAGAGAAGTTGCCGATCTTGCCCCTATACCCGGGGCAACTTCGTCAATTTCTCTCTTCTTGTAAAGTTGTAATTATTTTAATTATTTTTATTTCCAAACTGATTTTAACCAGTTCTATAGTAAGGTAACATTCCAATAGACAATATGCAAAGCTTTTTTTTCAGTTTACAGCAGTATTTATTACACAAAATTTAAGTAAAGCTTAACATGCCGATCTTTCCCCGGTCTCCCCTAAAGCACTTTAAAAATGGTTTTCATTCTTTTGACTTTAATGCAAAATGGAATTTAATAAAGCTAAAGATATTTGTAGAATGGCTAAATTTACTTTAATTTTATGAAATTAAAAAGCAAATTTTGAAATTTTTTTCATAAACGATATTCTGAAAAATTTTATACAAGACTTCGTTACGGAGTATTTCAGTTATTTTAATTATTTTTTACAAAATCACTTAACGTTAATAACTTTATAGGAATGTGAGTAATTTATTATTGATTTTTTAAAAGTACACAAAGATTTATCCAGAAGAAACGTTCAAAAATTAAACGTATTGTTCTTTGTACAAACTCAAACAAAACATAAAATAAAAATTGATTGTTATTAATTGATTAGAATTAACTTAACTCTGTTATTCTAGATTAAGTAAATTTAAGTAAAAAGTTAAAAGAAAAGTCAGATCACTGGTTGATTAATAGCACGTCTTAAAGCAGTAACCTCATTCGAGTGATTAAATGTCATTCAATATGTCATGGACATTGTCGTGAACAAAATACAGAAATTATAACAGAAAAGACATAATATCAAATCTTTTTGGAATGTAATAATTCTCATTTAATAAATATAAAAAATATAAATACGACTTTATAAACATAAAACTTTGCAATTACATTAAGTAATGTTAATCAATTTAAAACATATTTTCTCTGCTTGTACAGTACCTACATCGAGCACAGTGTTTACTTTAAATAAATTTATTAATAAAAATGTACAACAATTTTAACCTTCCCACTTAAACTGTCGCTAATTGTTTAAATAGTAGGATGCAAGTAAGCAAAACCGTTACATCTGATACAGATTATTTAAATTAAATTATGCATAAAATCTATGAACAAAATAAAAAAATAAGATATTATTAAAGTTATATTTTAGGTTGTGCAACATTCGTCGATAAAAAGCATTCACTACACTCGTTTAGAGGTACGGCTTTCGGAATCAAGTAAATATTTTCGTCACACCAGAAGATGCCACCGGTTATAATCTGCGGAAATAATCCCGTTCCTTTCCAGTTCTTCAACACTCTAATACAAAACGGAAATGTGAACGTGCAAATAATTGATATAAAAATAGTCAAAAATAACCATAATACCTTTCTCTTATCTGTTTGATTCGTTTCCGTTGAATGCGTATATGAATATGTAAATCCGACAAATAAAGTAACTGCAAACGTACAATAGTCAGATTAATTTATATACACGAAGCCGTAATTAAAGCTTCTCAACTCATAGTGCTCTGTAGATGTCACTTATTATCGGGTACACATAAAAGTTTTGAAAATACGCAAAGAATACGGAAAAGGAATTTGTGAAACAAAATTATAGTTTAAAACCTTCCACTGCAAACGCAAAGCATCACTAGAGAGCATTTGTGGTCAGCTGTAGGTGTGTACGCAACTGTGTCTGCAACTGTGTAAATGATCAACTGTCAAAGTTGTGACCGTGCAAATTTTACACCCGAACAATGGACCACACATTGACATTACTTACATTAGTGAACAGCTTTTGCATATGGCATGTGCATGGCAGAAAAAATATAAGGTTTCGTTGAATTTTTGATTTTTCGTTTCATGCATTTTTCCTGTAGAGAAAGCTGCAAATCTAATTTCGTTTTCTAAAATTTATTTTGTATTCCTTGTACATTTTATATAAAATTTTGGTGACAATCTGTTTACTAGTTTCATCTACAGAGTACTCTAAATAGGAAAACCATAATCACCACTACATATTTTACTTACCTTCGATAATGTTTCGGCAACTTCGACAATATCTAATATACATTTTTTTGCTGATAGAAAACGGATTTGTCGTAAAATTTTAGCATTTGCCATTGCTTTCCATAATGGAGAATATGAAAAATCTAAATTGCTTTGGCTTATTCTGAAAAATTATATGAAACACGTGTTAATGAAGACAAACACTGTATTACTTTTTATGAGGTCTTACAGCGTTATAAAGGTAAGTTACGATCGCGTAGCCTACTAATCTGTCAGGCCCAGATCGAATCCAGGTGAGAATCATTCTAAAATTTTTGGAGTGGTCTCTCATGAGTAGATAGAGTACCATCGCTCACCTCTCGGGCACCCCATTGTGTGCCTAGCAAAACTCATAATATATGTAGAAATAGATTTCTTTGTTTCCACACTGCAGAAATATAAAAAATTAAAATCTTCAACTAACCTGAGATATGTTAGTGACACGGCATTTTGCAGAAAAGTACAAAGGCATTCCATAAACAGTCGATGTTCTGATTTACTTCCAACATTGTGAATGCGAAGACGTTTGATACTACACCGTTTTCCAACTTCAACTAGAAATCCAAAATTCGTGACAGAAGGAAGATTAATTAAAGACAAAGAGCTCAAATTACGTATTTCAGGCATCGCTGACAAATATTCGTCCCAGCGATGTTCGAAAACATTGGAGCTGCCAAAATTAAAAATTTGTAAATCACATATTTTTGTTACATGAGTATATATTTTTAAATCTGAAACGACTACAAAAATCAAGCATGAATGTGTGCTATGTCATTGTTTTTTCAACGTAAATGACAACATTACAATTGCATAATAGAGTAGTCCATAATATCTAAAACGGTCACTTAGAATATGATAAACGGTTTACAAATAAATTCCCTTTAGAGATGTTACTTGTAAATTGCTTAACATATTCTTAAATAACCATTTTTCCTTAAACGCTAAAAGGAACTAAACAGTTTAGAAGTAAATTTTTTCATGTTAAATTAGATGCAATTACTTTAAAACTGTTTAATTCCTTAAGCGAAAACATAATTTCAAAGTTGTGGATAGTCTGACGCGATAACTGAAGAAAATCTCTCCCGCCATCTACTAAACGTAGCATTTTAGTACAACTTAAGAAAAATAATTAAATATTCAAAAAATAAAATCTATTGAAAATATACAAATAAACCTCCAAAAAGTCACTGAAATCTACGTTTATGCCAATACATGGAAACGCAGTGCTATACTAGTAGCGTAGACCTATAAATTTCCACTCTTGTAAGTATGTTTGTCTGACTCTCTTTCTGTAGTCTGATCGGTGTTAGCTAGATAAATGTCGAGACTAGACGTGAAAAGCATAAAAAGCAGTTGGTCCCGATCAATTATATATGGTTCAAAAAGCTTAGCCTGAAGTCACGTAATTTGAAGTGAAAATTTTTCTTAATACGTAGTCACATGAATTACCGCTCTGACTCTGTCGTTATCAAGAGAAGCATAATGCACAGAAGCATGCCACAGTCCAATATAATAATTAAAAATTGTAACCTGAAATTATGAAGACGACAGAATAATTTTGGCTCGTTCCATTTACTGTCATTATTATTACATTGACCGCTATTATGAAAGTCTATTTTTGTAAAGTTTAAAAAACAAATAATCTTATAATCGAGTTGGGTTGATAATAATATTTAATAATAATAATAAGCGCAGAGCACAAACAGTTAGGAGTTAAAGTAGAAATTTGGTACAAAGTTTGAGTACATCACGAGAATGTACACTAAGAAAGGATTTTTGGAAATTCCCCCTTGGGGAAGTGAAAGAAGATTATAGCTGATCTTACCTGTTTTCATTGGGTACAAGAATTAGGTTCTCCTTTTCGAAGACTAATCAGAAAAATTTTTGGACAAGTCTAAAAATACAGTATGTTTTCCACAAAAACTCAAAACACCGCATGTAAAATAGTACAGCAGAAGCCAAGTTCTTTGTGATAAACCTTAATCTAATGATTTTAATTTATGCTATCGTTACTTTTTGCCCGAGCATGAATATTAAACTCTACATTTACCAAGGTATGGAAACGTCACACTTAACACCCTTAGATGCTAGACACATTAAATTTGAATAGTATAAAGATTTGGTGCAGCTATTGCTTTGCGTACTTCTTTTGTAACAAGTCAAATAAAGTCAAAGGAATTATACCTCTACGCGCGACCCTTCGCGAGATAAAAGCCCTTGAAAATTCGCGTACGTCATTTTAGGTCACGTGACACCGCGGTCAAAATGGGACCTACCGCGCGAAAAAAAAATTAGCGCGCGCTCGCGCATACTACGGGGTCGCCGACCCGCTCATTCGCAGGGTAAATTGTGGAAAACAGGCGATCACGTGACCAGTAGAATAATTTTTGGAGAGCTATATCTCGGGAAGGGTCGCGCGTAGGGCTATGGTTCATTAGACATTTATTATTCGCACAGAGAAAGGGTCGCCACCCCTTCATTCGGAGAGTAAATCTTACCGTCCTGATCGCGTCATACGAATCTATGTTTCCACCTATTAAACATCCTATAAATACTTTAAAATAGTTTAATTTGTTTATTTACCTTCGCTCGTAAACCTCGATTTTAAATGAATCCGCCATTTTTTCAATAGATTTTCCTTGAGTTAATACGTCACTGAGTCACGGAATGTTGTACACGTGCAGCGCAAGGTTAATCGAGGCATTTAATAGGGCAAGGCAAGGCATATAATAGTTATTTATACTATTCCGTGGTATAAATAATAAATTCATATCAATAATAAATTCCTATTAAAAATAAAAGTAATTTACTGTTAATTTAAAAACTTCGCTAGGGCGGCTCTAGTGTCCGTATTTCGCATAACGTTACGCGGACAGACTGATGCCCTTTGAATGAGTTATATATATATATATATATGTGTTTCAACAAGAAAAGTAAAAGAAGAGTTAAAAGTGATACCATATAAATGTTTATATAAGTAATTAGGTTAGATTTACCTTAGCCAAAATGGCGACTCGTCTCTGATTCCAGTAAACAAAAGAAAGGAAACAATGGAGACGCACGTTCTAACTTAACCAAACATATTCTAATAATTTGATTGGTAATAATTATGGTAATTTATTAAAATAGGTTAGGTTAGGTAAGCCGCCATTTTTGCTACCTAAGGTAAATTTAACCAGTCATTGTAATACGAAATTGTTCTGGTAATCCGGTTTTTGTGAGTTTTTGTCCAGAACTAAAGACAAACATGTGAGACAGAGGGTTTTCAGGGCTTAAATTTTTGTGTTTAACATTTTTAACATTTGAAGATGAAAACAAATTATTGCAAGTTCCCACGGAAATAAATCGGATGTCGACACTTAAACGTCGACAAGTTAGGAAGATCCGAATACAAGTGTCTCCCGACCCAGAAATGTCCGAGGAGAAGCAGGTAGAAGACATAAGACTATTCCAGCTTCCATAGTCTAGAATGATCGTCGAGTACCGTCATCGGATAGCATATAAGATATATCTGAGTGCAGTAACCTTTGTAAACTCCCAGACTGTTTGAGAGTAGACACTCATAGTGACTACTTTGATCGCCGTTACCGATAGATTTATGTGTTATCCGCATTTAAGCATTTAATTATTTAATTCTTTATGTATGCTCACGTAAATCAGCCTCAGTTATATAATAATCTTCTTTTTTGTTTAACCTGTGAACCTGTCTATCATTGCTCGCATGCACAACTGTTGTCTTTACCAACCCTCTCGCCACTCGACAGAAAGAAAAAGTGGGCGAGTTTTACCAACTCGACGATTAGAAGGCTCGGTCCCCTCGTGTTTATTCTCACAACTATTTCATTGACTTACGTAACTATCCATTTACATTGAAGTATCTTTACCAGACAATGCTTACAATTATTCGACATAGAGAACGAAATACATTATTATATGCCTAATAGAACTGTACAAATCAAATTCTCGATATAACTTTCTTCTAAAACAATAAGAGCAGCCATACCTGGTTGAATGACTCTTGCACCGCTGGCATCCATATATTTCTAGTTTATTTAGCTTACAACACTTCTTTGCTACGATCCATAGTGGAGACTAAAGTTTTAATAATTATTATTATAATTATAAAATATGAAATAATACTCCAAAATCATGTTTTACTAACCGTTTTTTCTTGATTTCTCTCTCTTTCACAACAAATATTCGTTGCCAAGCACGCAGACAAAGCGACACTCTTCAACTCTGTGACAATATTACTTCAGAATAAATATTTATCTAAGTTGTATAGATGAATAGTATGATTTTTGAGAACGAACCTGTAAGATTGCTGATTTCTTTGCATACGTGAAAACACAATCCAATGTGAGTATGCACCATATTTAGTTCTGACAAATGAGGAAAGAACCTGTGCAAACATAGCAACCCTCCATCTGTCTGTAATATGTAAAAAACAGATTATTACTGTTGTATTAAGAATCAAAATTCATACTGAGTAAATTTCCACTCACCGAATTATATTTTGAAGTAGTAATTCTGTTAAGATAAAGATATTTTACTCTGCTGCTACTAAACGCGTGTAAATATCTCCTGTTAACTTCATTGAAATCTGTACAACTGAAGCTGAGGTATAGAGATCCAAGGGCGTTTTCAAACATTGAATATGTAGCGCATTCATCTCGACGAACATTCTTTTGCAGGAAGGACGTTTTTCTTGTTCCCGTGTTTAAAATATTCTGCTTTTCTATCATTTCCGTTACTTCAATTGCAATTAATTACAAAAATAACATTACGTTACATTGAATATTTTTACAAGTTTATGGTAATTAATATTATTAATAAGGTAACTTCGCGGAAAAGACACAAGAAAAAAAATGATACTCTAAGTGTTCTGCACAATCTTTCTACTAAATATAGAGAACAAATGGTCATATATATGCAAATTTTTGTTCAAATAGATGAAGTATTGCAAAAACTTAAGTAGATTATAAAATATTGTGAATTGCAATACAGTAGCGTATAAAAAAATGAGCAAATATTTTCTCGCCCTGTAGCGAGGAAAAAGTAAGAACAATTCGGGATTCAAGAGGCGAAGAATGATTCGTTTGAATTGATAAGATAAAGTAATTATATTTTTTAATAACACTTAACTCTACAACTGTTTAATAACAACGTGAAATGAAATTTAAGTGAATTTTAAGGCAATACAAACTCCTTTTTCTTTGCGCTGTTTCAGTTGATATTCAACTTTATGAAATTAAAAGTCTTTCAAAAGTCTAGTCGAGAAGTTTGCATTCTTTCTACGTAAAAATATAAAAGTGCATTATTACTATTAGAAATACCCCAAATTTCTGCATATACTTGATCTGGAAATAAATAAAGCCATTTTCACAAGAAAAATCCTAATGTAAGATACCCCCTCTAAGCACATCGCTCAGGTGTTGCGTTGCCCTATTTCAATAAATCGAATTGCCTTTACAGTAGAGTAGTTCAGCTGAAAAAAAGGGTTAGACTATTGTTTCACTCAATTTTACAACTTTTTTTCTGAAGTAGTTGAAATTGAGAAATCTTGATTAATCAAGTCTTATATTCATTACTTTATCGTACTATGTTTCAAGTTTTTAAGCATGAGAATCAATCTGCACAGATATCTTCTCCTACACAGATGTTTCCTGAACGAACGCCCCGTTAAAACAGAATTTGGTTTAAAAAACCAAGATAAATGATGTACTTGCATTTAAATTTATTAGCAATGTCCCCAATAGCGTAGTGATTAAAAGCCGTGAACACTGGTTCAGCGCCTTTATTCACTAGTTAGCTGGTTCGATGCTCAGCAAAAAACTGGTTAGGTAGCGTTCTCTTAAATTTCTCGCAATAGAAAAACTATAGAGGGGTCCTCTTTTAATCCAATGAATAACTTTCCATTGTTCTGTCTATGAAATTAATTAAAAATAAAGTTTCATTACATTATCTTACCTAATTCGTGTTGTATCTCTGGTGCAATCCACATATTACTGAAAGATTTAACATTCGTCCACGGCTCAAACAAATATTCCAGAAAAGGACGATTATTGTTATATTTGCATAAAACTGGTGAAATTTGACTCGTCTTGATCGAGATATTTTCTTGAGTCATGATAAAATATTTCAATTTCTGTAGACGAATTTTTGTCTTATGCACGCTTGGTTCAGTAGATGCGTAAAAATCTGAGTCACTCTGATAGATTATTTGGTGAATATGAATATATTCTAAATATTTTGAAATAACGGCTAAAAATACATGAAGAAATCTCAAATGAATGCAATTTCTCGGAAACGATATAAACAATTTCTTTAGTCTACTAAATTTGTATGATAGATCTTCATAGAAATTACTTTCATATGGACAAAATGATGTTAATTGTAATCTTAGTTCTTGCAAATTTGAAAATTTTGATAACACTGAGCACAATGGGTGAAATTCAATATGTTCACTTTTAATACGAAGAGAGTAGAGGTTTCTGAATACTTCTCTATACTCGTATTCATTTATATAGACATACCACTCACTAAAGTTGTTGACATCTAGATGTTCTCTGTTCTTCCTGTATTGTACGCAAAATAATTTTAAATGTGTTTTCGTTTCTTGAGAAATGCTGAAATTAAATAAAATACTTTATCGTAACCATAATTATTATATCTAAAATTTTGAATACAATTTACTAATAATGTATACGGTGGCCATAATTGAAGTTTCTCTATTAAAAGCTTTTTGCAGCTGTAACCAATAAGCGAATTGACCGTAAAAGTTGTATACAGACTTGGATGTAAGAAAAATGTGTAAAGAGCAAAAAAGGAACAATGAATGTGTTAAAATTATAAAAACAAATTTAGTTCAAAAACTTCAACTAAGAGGCGCAATAATGGGATAAACACTAAACAAAACAATCAAACAAACAAAGACATTTGAATTTTATAAATGAAAAATCAACGTATTAAATACATTTTGATTTTTAATTTGACATTTTCTATTATCATAAAATGGATTTTTTGTGGAATTTGTAGTTTGTACAATAATAAAGGAGATAAAAATAAATCTCGACGTGTGATATGCCTGTAAATAAACACTGAAAAAATCGTACCCGATGAAATAACAATTTAATATTAAGCAGTACAATACAGTTACAATACGGTTTGCCGGATAATTAATAATTAATAGCGTGTTCTGTATGAACTATAAATTCGTTTTAATAGTACAGTAGAACCTCGATTATCCGCCCCCCGATCAACCGACCCCTCCGTTAACCGACCGTCCTAGTCGGCAAATTTCAAATGTCCGCTAGTGATGTGGCGTTACAATATTTGGCTATGTCTTGGCTACTTTAATATTATTTTTACTTGTTTTAGCTGGCAACACTCATTCGACCATGAAAGGGAGCCAATATTTAAACGAGGCTTAATTTTCTAATTTTTAACGATACAATAGCGACGATTATTATTTTAAAAATTTTTGTTATGCTTAACATCGATGAAAATTCAACGCGAAGTAGGTTAATAGCGATATACTAATATACTAATATACTAATTACATGGGATATAATAATATACTACACTAATAATGGATTTTTTCATACTTTTCAATTATCCGACCAACCCCAGTCCCCAATTAGGGCGGATAATCGAGGTTCTACTGTAATCCAATGTGTCTTCCGAAAGTGAATATAACGATGTCGCTTTTTATAGATTAGAATTTATTTATTTCGAGATAAGTATTTCTGCGTTTATACAACGCGGCATCGTAAATTAAGATTGGAAAATCGAAATCGAAACCGAAACCGAAAATAAATGCTTCAATCAATCTTATTCGTTGATTCATATAAAATTAGAATGCGATAAATTTAACTTACTTGAGTGAATGTACCACATCTCTGAACTTCCTGTTTACATTCTGAATACACACCAAGTTTGACACCGATAAATAATTGAAAATCTTCGATAAAACATTACTGGGTAAATCCTCAATTGTAACTTCGGCCATCTCGGTATAGCAGACGTGTTCCACCCTACACGAGATGTTGTATACTATGATATCGACAATCACGCTGTTTGTTAAAATACTGACGATTGCACAATCTTGTGACAATTATTATAGCGACGTTTTCTATGACGTTAGGTCTGAGTCATTCGATATCACGCAACGATAGCGCAATACTTTTCTCAAATAAAAAAAAATCTTCGTGTCGTGAGAAATATATAGAACGACAGAATTTAATTTATTATTGTTTTATGTAAATTTATAGAATTTGCCAATTTTAATTTTAAAAAAATGCTGGAGTGAAATGTACTGGTAAGAGAAAATAACGCAACCTTTCAGTGATTTATTAATTAAGGAAAACTCGTGTCCGAAGGATTTTCGATGAAAAATTAACCTCTGTTTATGTGTATAGACTCTCTTCGGAGAGCCTGTTGATTAAGCGCACCCACTAAAATCGGTGAATGGTGTTATTCACTTGACCAGTGATAAGCAACATTGATTTTCTTTTGTAAGATTTCACTTTCATAACCGGTGTGGTAGTCGAGTCGAGTGAATTAAATCGTTCAATATTGTTAGTTGGTAGCAGTTTTTTTACTGAAAAACGGTCCGGCGTAATATTACGATTTTCTTCTTGTGTTTAACGCCTAAGAAGATCAATTTCCTTTAGAAGTTTACTCGATAAGCATCCGCTTTGGATATCGTCCACTGGTTGTGTTGCCCTATACTATCAATGATACTCAGAACTATAGTGTAACGTCAAATCTCAGTTTTCGAATGACCATTTAATTAATAGCCTATAATAAAATCATCGTGAGGACAACTGCACATCCTGCACAGCCTATGAATATGGTATCGAGTGTGCCAATTCAGTAATTACACACTACGGCCGTTTCTAGCACGTAATCAAAATCCACCATAGTTTAGCCAAATAAAGCTTGTTTCTGTGTTGTAAGCGTGTTCGGAAACAACAAAGTACAGATAAAAGCAATTTCTATAGTAACGTACTTCTTTACCGAAAAAAGTTATTTTTTCACATTTACCCACCTATTTCTATAAATTTTGTAAAGAAAAATGTGTTCCATTTTTCATTTCTGACTGTAAATATAAAACAGCCTCGTGTGTTTTATGCAGTGGCTATTATTTTAAAATACTTCGAGGAGCACGTGCCCTTTTAACAGGAACCCATGATTTATTTTTTTATAACTAACACCTTGATCCCGAAATCATTTCTTTATGTTCATTCTAAAAGTAATGAAATACTATTCAAGTATTTGAAGGTAAAATGAATAACATACACTTCTTTCCTAGGGCATTATTTCATTTCGGGAATGGTTTGCTTTGACGGGATCGGCAACGCAACAAACAAGCGATCCGATAGGATGTCAGAAAGATATTCCCTGACTTCCTATCGAAAACTTTCCGCTATTTTTGTGTTATATTACGTTCGCACACAATCCATGACTCGCGTCGATCTCGATTTACCTACAATCTGGATTGTGGCTGTCGCCAGACGAACGTCGAGTTGTTCGCACAGTCAGTGATGTCAGTCCGCTCGAGAAGAACCCGGCTATTACACGCGATAATAAACCTGACATAACTAGGCGGTAAGTTAAGAACAACAACAAAGAAAATAGAAGTTTTGATTAGAAATAAATACTTTTTCTTGCCATATATTTAATAATAGACAGATGCCATCGTCACTCCAAATGTTTTTTTTTTAATTCTGACGATAGCACAACACGTGTTCCGCGACCATCTTATATTTTCTCGCGCGCGTGGGATTGCGGGATCTCTCTTATAACTGGATCTAGTTTCGCGAACTCTGTCGAGTCGATCGCGATTGAACCTCGTTTCAGTCGAGAGTGAAATGGTCCAGAGAGGTCGAACCACGGCATAATCGCCGAGCTTGGTCACAATCTATATCGAAATGCTCGGTGCGAATGGGGTATTACGGACGTGTAGTGTAAAACTGTCAATCCTTTGTTAAAGCCAGTAACAACTACCACTGTTCAGTGGTTTCATTCATTCGGCCGTCGATGGGCATTTGAGAAAATAAAAAAAAATTCGATACAAAAGCAAATCTGATGTCAAAGACCGTAATTACTGTACTTCAAAAAATCATCATCAGCAAAAAAAACTGTAAAAGATCTTCTAAAGAATACGTCCATATTTATATCGTTTTTAAACGGAACACTTGTGTGTTTAAATATATAGTCAAAAAATTAAGTGATTTTATTTAACACTTTTTATTCTTTGTTCCCGATAGTATATTGCTATTGGAATTGAAAATATTTCATTATTTGGTCTGACGATCGTGTAAGAAAACAATCTGCATAGCTACGTACCGGGAATCGTCTCCTTCTCTCCAGAAAAATAAAATTTTTTATTATCAAGTAGCTTCTTTCTAATGTAAAAATCCGCTTACCTTATAAAGTATTATTCCAATTGAATATCTGTAATTTTGTAAAAATTCATAAAATAACACTTAATCTTGAAAATAATTTCATCTAATCCGTTAAGAGAACGGCCAAAAAACGTCAAATATTTTACAAAATTACGTTCTTCCTTGACCTAAAATTTTACTCTCTAACAATTGCTCTCTACCCCTGAAACACGCAGAGTAAGATACGCGACCCCAAATACTTTTATCTATATTATAATTTAACCTTTTTCAGACTCAGACACTTCCTCTATAGTGGTCAATGGGAACCACTGACTTACCCCTTTAAGTAGGTAACGTGTTTTATGAATGTTCACTAACACTTTACAATTCATTCTTATTACAGATGTAAGTGAACGTTATTAAATAATTACAGTCGATTCTTTTTAATATCAACACTTGAAGGTATCAAAAATATTTCATCTAATCTATTTTATATAAATTAATATTATTTTATTTGAATCAAATTACAAATGACAAAAAATTCGTAAACATTTTTACAGAAATAAATAAATAAATAAAATATTCTGACAACTGAATTTTTGGTTGTGCAGCATTCTTAGACATAACATTGCATTTAGAAATGTTGTCACGCAATCGTAAAAAAGGCACTTAACGTTTTCAAAAGGTGAAAATAATGATGCAATTTACAATTCTATAATTACTCAATAATTCGAGAATTCAATTCTGTAATCATCTAAAGTGAAGTGCAAAAGATTATAACGTAACTCATCAAAATAGCATCCCTGTTAAAAAATGAAACCGTTGGTACATACGTGTATAGCCATGTAAAATTTTTTTAGAAAATGAAGCAGCGAAAATGTGTACTTTAACAACTATTTCTGTCGATTTTTATAAAAAATTTCTAAATAAATCTCTTGTAAATAGTAATTCCGCAATTTTATCGTTTCAATCAGTTTTGATCCTGATTAAAATGCAGTTTTTCTGTTTGGAGGAATATAAAAAACCAAAGGAGTATTCTTTTTCCTGGCAATAATACATCTGTGCAAGTTTTAACCTGAATACAGATGATTATAAAATACATTTTATGATAAATTAGAACATTCTAGACACATGAAACTGTAGACGTGTTACTAAAACCACTGAACATTAGTTGCTGGTTGACGTCTCTCCAATGGGTAGCAGCCACGTAAAGTGTGATGACGTAATTTAATACGAATACCTTTGCAAACAAAATGATTTCGTGTCCATAATATCGATGAATTGAAAATTATTATTATTATTTTATCCAAAAATCCAATATGTGTTTTCTATGCTGATTCGGAGAAATCTTGAAATATTAAAATCCTATTTATTCCTTTTCCAGATTATTATTATTTTTGAAGCGAGAAGATTTTAATTCTAATGTTAAACAGAACTTTTTTCGAGAAATAAATAAATTTGCTTTCAAGTTTAGAAAAATTCATATTCATATCACATATGTTATTGTTTTCGTGGCAAAAATGTACGAAACATGTTGTCTTATTAATTGGTATTTAAGAACAGTTTTTAAAAAATAGTGTTATTCAAACGTGTGAATAAGACGACGATGAACCATCATTCTTACCTAACAATGACAAACAGCCTCGTCTTTTTTATTACTTTATCTCGCTTTTAATTATTATTATTATTATTCTTTCACTGCATTTAAAGAAGTACGTTTTCTCTCTCTCTCTCAATGTCTCTGTAGAAAAAATAATTTGTCTAATATGAACCAAATTTTGGCTTTACCTAGTAGTTTTTTTTACGGTGAGCTCTGAATATAAACTGTTTATGATTACACTGTATTTAGCATCCGTATCCGTATGATCCATACCGTGTAAAGAAATTAACTCGGTGGCTCAAAAACACTTAAAGTGACTCCAGCACTTTGAACTTTACGACCGGAACCACATAAAATACCACCTAGTGCCTTCTTTTTTCAATATTAATAATATTCTGGATTTAACTAACAACTCGACATTAGTTTGTGTTTTGGGTAACTATTATTAGTGAATGTAAAACACTTTCGACATTCATTCTGCAACTTCAATAAAAGATTTATGTCGTCATCGACCCATTTGTATCCACTTCGATTAATGTCTACGTCTATTCCACTCTTCTCTTTTCTCTTTACGGCCCTACAAAACATTCTTTAAGTTAATTTTCTGTTAGCAATTTAAGTTTATAATGAAAAAAAACGGAAGTTTACCAAGATAAAATTCTTCTGTACTTTTGAATTTTAACAGGTGCATGAATATGAAAAACGTAAAAACTAGAGAGCTATAAAGTGATTTATTGTTAAATTAAACTTATTCAAATGTTATGATCCACTGGTTAATAAGTTTTTAACATACCTCTGTCAATGCTTCCACAATTTCACCACCCTGTACAGTTGTTTTCCTATTTGACAGAACACGTAACTCTTGTAACCTTTTTGCTTTGCTCAACGCTTGCCACAGTCGCGAGTCTGATAAATCGATATCACTTTGACCGAGTCTAAATAGTGTTAAATAGCAGTAAAAGAATTTTAAAAATAAAATAGACAACAGAACAATTCGGAACAAAAGTAAAATTGATTAATTTGATTGGAACCGTTAGAAAACACTTCCATTCATTAATTAACATTTAAAAGTATAAAATGACACCTTGGCCTAGTAAGACATCGGCCTACTACTTTGGAATTACTAGAATCGTATTTGAATAAACAATTTCTCGGGAATTTCTCATGAGCGACCTTTCTAGAAAAATTACAATCCCTCACTAATCGGCCACCATATTCTTCAACTAACCGAATCCGCGATGAGTACGGAAAAGAGGCCTCATTGTATCCACAAGATAAAGAGTTTCGAGTAAAATCTTCTTGGTGTTGCTCGCATGCATTTTATTCCGGGTGCTCAGAACAGTAGAATAATTCTTAATCCTCTCGTATGTTATGTAAATCCTTTTAACCAGCTTCAAAATAAAATAATGTTTTTCAAATTGAATTGGATATACAACGAACAGGAAACCATCGTTTTTCGTATTATTACTGCTACACAGCAGTGAGTGGAGGATAAACGCAAAATACGTGCTATTGGTTTACGCTTCACTAACGTGCTGACTACGATCAGTTTTCTGGGTTTTTTCATATTTATAACACCTAACTAAGGATAATGCCCACCTCCTAAAACACTTTCTCTCCCCAGAAACGAGTTTGTCACTGTGCTTCTACACATTAATTCATACCCCACATCCATATTGGTGTAATCTGTATCGATTAAGTCTCCGATTATAAGCAAAATTGTGTGTCCATTATGTTTTCAGCCTTCTATGCACTATCAGCAACTAATGCGGTAATTAATATCAGTAATTAATTGTATTAATTCATAATAACGAATCGAATAAATGCCCAGCCTTTAAACTTTAAACATTAAAACTTTCTAATATTAAAAATACCTGAAATGCACCAAATTTGGTGCCGTCATTAAAAAGCAGAAGAGGGATTCCAAGTAATTACATTTTCCCAGATTATGAATCCGTAAACTTTTGATATTTAGGCAATTAACTGCGATATCCTTCAGGAAACGAGCTGCTCTTATTTGAGGAATATTCACTAATGTTAAAGACGTCAATCTGCCCATCTTGGATAAAGCCGACAGATGTGTATCCCAGCACAATTCTGAATTTTCATGGCTGAAAAATCCAAAAAGTAAACGTGATATATATGATTTACGTATGAAATAAACATTAAAATAATTCTAAATACGACACACCTTTTGCATACACCGCACCCATAAATCTCTAATTCGGACAGTTGATGACATTTCTTGGCGATGGACACGAGCAGTGACTAAACACACAACCAATAAGAATATGATATTCAAGTATTCTCAGCAAGAATTAAATACTTACATCACTACTAGAGGATTTAACGGTGATATTATTCCTAGTTTTCGAAATACAGCACTTGCTAACTTCCGAACAGGCGGGTAACGCGAGGCGTTGCAATCCTGAAAAAAGCCTCATTATAACCACAATGTAATAATCGCGTAATTATATGCATAAAAACGAAGACAAACCTCTTAATTTACTGATTCCATTGAATAAGTGACGACATAATCCAATATGGCAGCTGATTAGATTTAATTCTTTTATAAGAAAACAAGAGGCGAGTAATTTATTAAATCTATTGACTATCTGAAAAATTTCAAATAGAAAGAATTAACTTGAAATATTGACGACAATTCGGTTAAAATTAATCACGACTAACCAATTTATCTCTAGTAAAATTCACTTTGTTGAAGCAAAGATATTGCAAACTTTTAGTGGCGAATTTCAGGAAATTTTCTAAATCTTCATTTTCGAATTTAGAATCTCTGTAACTGACGTATTTCGCTTCCGAATGTTCCTCGACTATTCCATATTTCATGCCTTCGTCGATGAAATAATTCGAATCAGCCGAACATAAATTATTCAGGAAACTTGAACGTAAAATGTTTTCCTCCTTTTTCTTTTGTACAGCTGCAATATTTTGAAAACTACAGAATTAAATTTTATAAAATAATTTATTTATCATTCTTGTCACAAGTTTTCAGAAAATAATATACAGCGATAACAAAGTTATTCAACTGCTACATTATAAACTTTCTAATGCGCATTCACCGGTGGCCAAAGAGATAAAACCAGTGACACCACAGGTAGTTGATTGCGGGTTCGCACCTCATCAAACAGACTGGCTTTGTGAAATCTTCCTTTTTTGAAGAAAACCAGAAAACTGGACGTGGCAAATGTTAGATACGGGAAGCGTGTCAAAGGTTTAGATACGGCCGCGAATCATTGTGCTGTATATCAAGCGAGATTTAAAAAAGTCTCTTTCTAAACTCCAAATTATAACAGAGTGTTGTTGCGATGCGATGTAGAAGTTATAATTTTAAAAAATTAGCTGGCAAGCATTGGTTGGGTAAATTTAAGGAAATACATCAACACATCACATGGACGATCTTCCACGGAATCAGCTGGAAGAAATTTTCTCCAAGAAACTGTTTTATTTTTATGTGAAACACGCGAAAAAAACCCGAAAAACTCCACGAAACGAGGAGGGAACCAATGACAAGTTCGCAGGGTTAATTGCTTCGGTGATTTAGTGGAAAATACTATTATTCCAATATAAGTTCCGTGGTATATAGCTTTCTTTCATATTATATGATTTTTAAATTACGTAAATTTTTTCACCCTGATAGTAGTAAGAAATTCCATTTTTGCCGGCACCGATCGCGCATCTAACTAGATCTACAATACGAGTGGATGAGGAGGCTTGCGGCATATCGGGTCAAACCACGTACAAAAGTTTTTAGCTGATCTAAATTATAATTTAGCTGATTTGACGGCTTTACCATACTCATTTATCTTAAATTCTACCTTGGAATAGTTTGAGATAATGATGTTTGACTTACCAAATCTGTCCGCGATTTCAGGCGCCATCCAGTAATCATTCAAAGGAACGTCTTGCATTCGCCCTTCCAGAATCCATTTCAATAAGGTGTAATCATTCTCCATTTTCATTTTATTCGTGTAATCGTCATCGGTATAATTATCTTCGGTTAAGATGATGCTAACCAATTTATTTAAGTTTAGTTTCCAATAAAACGTTGCATTACTCAGAACTGGCAAATAGAATCTTGAATCATCTTTGTTTTCAAGAAGATAATTCACCAGATGAATGTGGATATATTCTATATTTGGGAGGTATAACAACAATAGATGCAAGAAACAATAACTACAGTAAGAATTATCAATTGATATCTGCATTTTACTTAATTTTTTCAGCGGATTTCGGTCCAGTTTTTCTGCCATCAATAAAAGTTTGGAGTTTATAAGATCCTTGTTTAATGTGTAGTCATATCTTTCTTCAGTTTTCAGTAAAAGCGTTTGATGCGTGGTTAAAATCAGCTCTTGCAGATGAGGAAGTCTGATTAAAATATCAATCACTAAGTCATATTCCAGTTCTGTGTTCACTATACGGAGTGATTGAACGTATTTAAATCTTATCACGCATTTTAACCACACGTCATCGGGTATCTCGTCCGAACAATTGCTGACGTCTAAAATTTGAATGTCTTTCGAATGATTTACGAAGAACAGTTCCAAGCATCTCTTCATTAGAAACGAATCACTGCAAGAAATATAAGAGAAACGTTAATTTTCTTGTATTTAATTCATACGCACTTTATTTACTGAACAACAAATAATCACATTTTAGCTACATTTAAGACTATTTAAATGTACACTATACATTGGCTGATTTTTAAAACCCTTTCCATTGTGTGGGTTTCAGAAAGGATTGGATTACCTGTATAGGGAAACGCGACACGTGGGCGATCTTCCAAAGGGAATGTTTTCTGAGATTGACTTTATAAAGAAAACTAATTTCTATTTTGGCATTACCGACGTGATGAAAACTCGGTAAACTTCGTGCGGCCAGCGCATTGGCGATGCGCGAACCCACGCGCAACTACCGGTGCTCAGTGGTATTCTGAACTCGGCCACTCGTCGGACACAAACAGGGCTTCTTAGAAAGCCTATTACGGGTTTGGCCAGGCACAGAATGGTGGTGAGAGGAACAGACTTTTTCGGATGGATCCCGAAAAATTTATCGTTTTTCAACCCAGACAATTTTGGGTTCTTCAAAGTAATCAGCAACCACTTTATCTGCTATGCTATTGGCTGATTGTATCTTAAATACAACTACGTATTTTTGGGGAAAACGAAAGTGAGCTCCGCATCAGAGAATTTTCTGTTTCGGCTTCAAAGAAAAAAAAATGTGGTGACACGCTGTAAACGTTCTATAGAAAATTGAGACACAAATCTGTGACTAGAGACACTGCATGTAAAACGGCCGTCGTAAAAATCGTAGTAGAATATTTTCTCCGAGATCAATATAAATTCAGAGTAATCGGAAATTCGTTTGAGAGCGTTTTGTAGCGCACAACCAGCTTATAACCGATCACTTTCGTTTTTCTAGGACAGAGGTGTCCAAAGTTTTTGACGCAAGGGCCACATTGGGAATTAAATACATTTGCTGCTAAGTGTAAGATATATCCTAGATTCTAGGAGATATCTTATACTTAGTTTCACAGTGGCTCTATCATTTCGGAATAGACTGCAATTGCAAAAACTCGTGTAAACTAGCCGCGCGGTTGCTTTAAACCAGTAGATTATTCAGGAGTTAACCTGGAGGAAGAGGAGTAAAATAAATAATAAACTATTTAATCCCAACTGAATAAAATTCTCGCCTTACGGGACCACTTTTTTTTTACTCTTTCTGATCTGTGGGTACTAAGAGGGCCTCTTATCACTGATTCATTAGTAGTATAGAAATAGAAGAAACGACACAATGTAATAAAAAAAAAATATTAATTCAGAATGGATTTTTGAGAAATTTCCTAGTATCTTTTCTTTTTTTTCATTGGATGCTGACAGGGCCCTTGTCTCCCTTCCAAGTGCGCCATTGCTGTTCTTAAAAAAGTGAATTTGGCCTTCGAGTTAACATAGCGATTTTGACCCGGAATATCTCGGACCGTTGATCGAATTTAAAATTCCAAGTTTGGTCACAACATCGGCCCTGCATTTTTTTTACAAAATATCAGGTTTAAAAGCCGTGCGGTTTTTAAAACTTCAATCACAGACAAAACGCTTCCTGACACTTGCAGAGCACCGCTCAATGAATTTAGAGTTTGTAATATACAACTAAAATCAGCAATACACGCAGGACATAATCACATATTAAGTTAAAATCGCTTTTGAGTGGATCTCGACTTCTGGTGAACATCAGATTGGAAAAACAGAACAAATTTATTGATTTGCCTATAAATTCCTTTTTACAAGTTTCCAAAATAAAATATTATCATTTTATAATTAATCATCTTAATTATTATTAAAAATTAATGTTGCCATTTTTTCCCACCAGGCTGCATACTCGACGGTCAACGTGGACTGGGCGCAGTAGGATGCAGGTTGGATGTCAGTGGCCACGCGATTCCGTTCTCTGAACACTCAAATTTCGGCCGTGTGTTGGCGCCTGGCCTGGACAGCGGAGTTTTCCGGGTTCCCTCTACGTCTGTAACGCCCGAATAGGAGGCAGTTACGCTTAAAAACACTTGACGGAAGACATCATAAACGCATACAACTACGTCACAGTTTACCACGTGGCGATATAGCCTAGAAGCTCAGGCACAAGACTTACCGCATCCTACGGAATAAAACGGCCTTGTCATACGAGAAAACTCCCGTAGATATGCTGGGTAAACAGTAGTGACAATGGGTTGTCAAATTTTCTATCGATTAGCTGTATCACGTGGTTAAAATCCGCCGTGTTCTGCCGTGGCTCTGTGTATTTCGAATGGTAAGTGTTCTTTAAAGTCGTTTATAAAAAAATCTACAAGTGGTAAAAGTTTATCCTTACGTCATGGATCCTTTTTTTCTAATTTTGCTCTCTTAAGACACGTCTCTAATAGCTCTATCAGGCTTTTAACCTATCTTGCTTTGTCTTAAACATTTTCAATTATTTTGTAGACAATGTGACAGTTTTAAACTTATGTAACAAGAAATAATTAAGTGTTTCTATGTTTTTAAAGTCACACATTCACACTTTAACAGATTCAATCTTATATATTTAAAAATTGCTTTTGCTTATCAGATCTTAACATTATTTTATGAGATGGATTTAGTCTCAAAGAGTTTTATTTTCCAAAAGTTTTTTGACTCATTTAGCATTGCATTATTAGTGCTTAGTTATTATGGACAGAGTTGTGTGTGACAAAAAAGAGTACTGTTATTATGATAATAACTGTGCTTTTTGCCCATACTTTACTATCATTATTTAACATATTCATTTTACATAAATAAGATACTTGTGTTATATTTCTCTTCAAAATTCACCTGTTTAGTGAGTTATGTAAAGAAATATGTTAAAAAATTAAATGATGATGATAAAAATGTTACTTATGAAGTGCTATAAGTGATAACTTTCAATTTCTCTTCTTTTAAGAATATTTATGGAAAAATTAGTGTAACCAAATATGATGCTGTAAATTACTGTAACTTAAAATTAGAAACACTAAGTAGCTTAACACAAATAAATCAGTAATATAATGTGTAGTAAGAGTATTTATAAAGATATTAGATAATCAAATATTTGTAGGTATGCTGTTGACAGCTGTTGGCGTATTAAATGTGTTTTTAAGCATGTTTGTCAGTAGTTTTAGTGAGAGTCACACAAATTTAATGCTGTTTTATTTGGCCAATATAACCTGACTAAAGAGGTTTGTAAGGAAACAGCTTGAAACAGCTCAAGTAAATTTTAGAATGGCCATAATTGTAGCTGTTTGGAGTCTAATGTATAATTATTAGAATAATAAAAGAAATACAGATAAGTCTCAATGTACGATAAGCCTTTGAATAAGTACTGAGAAATACTAAACAGTAAATAACATTGGATTAAATTTACTTCAAAACAATGTACAGTTGTAGTTTTTAAAAACTGAAATAGATAAATAAAGAATGGTTATCAAGAAGGTTAAAAACTGATTGCTTTGATGTGTAACAATATTCTAACTGAAGAGGAAATACAAATTCTGAAATGCACTTTATTTAATAGTTTATAATTACAATTGTTCTGTAAATAACTAAAGTTGAATAAATGTTTTAAATATTTTGTTGATGGTGTGTGATAAGCCTTAATACATTTTCACTACTATTTTGTTTAAGCAAAAATGAATATGTTTAATAATAATAACACATTGTGTTTGACAAATTCTTGACATTCCAAAACAGTAAACAATGAAAATTTCTATGCATGATTTAATCTTTGATTTCTATTATTTTCTTGTTAGAGATAATTTTTGCCAGAATTGTTAATGAAAATTTTTTTTCGTAAAGCCTGTAAATTTTTATTAAAATATTCAATGTTATCTTAATTTACATATAAGTAAAAACATCCAAACCTGATTGTTATATATATTAGAGCCAAATGATTACCAAATTATAAACCTTCTAAATTATTAAAATATTAATTTAAATTATAATTATTAAGTTTAGAAAAGATGGTTCCTAATGTTTGCATCTAGTGCCTAATTACTTAGCATATAATTAATAATAATAGTAATAATATATGTTAATGTAATTCAGGAATCATTTTTTCATACATTATATTAATTTTCTATCTTTATAATTAAAATATACTCTACTTTCTACACTGTACATAGCACATTCTTCTATACCATAGTTGCATTTTCAAAACACTTGGAATTATTCTATCTGTGAAACTGTATTTGTCTGTGTATAGAATTCTTTGTAATGACAGAGTTAAGTTTCTGTTCTATAGAAATCAAATGTCTATACGATCCCCTTACAACACTTGTGCATGAGTTCAAAAGTTTTTTTATACAGACCATAACCAGAAAGCTATTAAAGCATTTTGAACTTTAGGAAACTATTAGGATGATATTATAAATAGTAGTCTTCGATAACCTGTCTAGAGATATATTTAACATAATCTTATACCATTATGATGGGAAGCTTTCCTATTCAAACAAACAAATTGAATAATTTTTCCTTGGGATTCTTTATATATAACAACATTGGGATCAAGTAATAAATCCAAGACTGAGTTCTCTGATTATTGGTATTATTTTTTTAAACTTTAAATTCATAGTTTACATATAAATATATAAACTGGATTTTAGGGTATGTCTATTCTGTAATTTCTAAATATTTCTGTATATTTTTTATATGGTTGCTAATAGAAACCATCTCAACCATATATCATATATTGCATTGTTTGGATGAAAACATTGTGTTTAAATTAATATAGGTCACCATGTTTTCATCCAGAGAACACAATTTGAGTTTTGAATGTAGATACTTATCATTTATATTTGTTTCTCCTGAATTTTATTAACCAAAATGTTTCTAAATTGTCAAAATCACCTGTCAGTTACATTGCAAAATGTTCTTTAATTTCAAACTAAGAGATATGTAGATAAATAATAAACCCAAAATATTTATATCAATTAAAATTTAGGAAATTTCTTTAATTATTCCATACAAATACCTTATGTATTAATTTTTAATCTTATATAAAAAATACATCTGATGCACACATAAATC